GTAGCCAAAATGGCCTTACTTGGGCCATTCTGGTTGAAATTGCGTCCCAAAACCTCTTACTTGCTCTTTTCTTGTAATCTCAAGCATTAGTCACATTTAAATAATCCCAATTATTATTAATTCACTTCTGCTAACTCACGTTTTGTGCATTCTAAGTTTTGCAAGGGGCAAACGGGACAGCCATACACGAGCGAGGAACTCCATGTAATTCGGGAGATGTTGGCGACCTACATCACATTTAATTTGTAAATATCGTTTACTAGCTAGCTACTACATCAATCCTAGCATTAGCTAACTAATTATGTACTATACATGAAACATTTTTCTAATTTATATCATCTCTTGCGATTGTTATTATTATTTATGTTTTGTTATTAATAATACTAATTATTGTTACTATTATCATAATAATAATAATTATTATTATCACTATTATAATATTAATAATTATTATTATTATTAATATTAATATTAATATTATAATAATAATAATAATAATATTATTATTAATATTAATATTAATATTATAATAATAATAATATTATTATTAATATTAATATTATAATAATATTAATTATTATTATTAATATTAATATTATAATATTAATAATATTACAGCCCAAAAAAATATACAGGTCAATATTGCAGCAAAAAAAAAAAAAAAAAAAAAGTACAAGTCAATGGCAACGGTTAACCATTGCCAATATTTTAAAAAAAAAATAAAAAGCGCGCCAAGGTCAATGGCAACGGTTAACCGTTGCCAACTCAAGCAATTGGCAACGGTTAACCGTTGCCAATTATTTTTAAAAACAAAAAAAAAGGGCGCCATGGTCAATGGCAACGGTTAACCGTTGCCAATTGCTTGAGTTGGCAGCGGTTTTGAACCGTTGCCAATTATTTTGGGATTTGGCAACCTTCAAATACTCAACGGTTCAAAACCGTTGCCTTTGGGGGGGTTTGAACCGTTGCCAATTTCTTCTTTTCGTGTAGTGAATTATAACCTGAAATTATTAGTTTAAACCATCAAAAACATGAAATAAACTAATTTCAAGCAATAAAAACCAAAACCCAAAAATCAATTACATAAGCTTTATGAAAATAATAAGAAATAAAGGAGGAAGAAAATAATACTAACCTTTTTGTGTGGGAAAAAAATTTGGGGATTCATGGGGTATTTATAGGAGAGAATTGTAGGTAGAATTGGGCCTCATGAAAATAATGGGCCAATTAAATAAACAAATGGGTTAGGCTTTGTTTTTATGATGATAGATTGTAAGATATAGGTTCATAAAATAATTTAGCCTAAAATAATTTTTGACCCAAATTAAAAATTTGAAACTTTTAAAATTAAATTCTGGAAAAATACAAATAAATATTATAAATAAAATAAAGGGTTTTTCTATAAAGTAACCCTGTTAATTTCACTTTTCTATGTTGTGTCCCAACTTATATCACTTTTTACACTGTTACCCTAATATACATTTTGTTTCCATACGGTAACCTTGCCGTTATCCCGCCGTTAAAAAATTCCGTTAATGGGGCCCACTCTTCATTTATTAATATTTTTTTATCGATTTGCGCGTTGGAAAACCTTCCGTTAAAGGTTTTGGGGGCTATTTTGGAAAACCTCGTGTTGCTTATTAAAATATGTCTCGATTTACGTGTTCACGTTTTAATAAGCAAAACGAGGCATTTACATTACTTTTTTGTGAAATCTGAGCTTAATTTGGGTCCTTAAGGACTAAAATAGCCCCTAAAACCTTTAACATAAGGTTTTCCAACGCGCAAATCGATAAAAAAATATTAATAAATAGAGAGTGGGCCCCATTAACGGAATTTTTTAACGGCGGGATAACGGCAAGGTTACCATATGGAAACAAAATCTATATTGGGGTTATAGTGTAGAAAGTGATATAAGTTGGGGCACAACGTAGAAAAGTGAAATTAATAGGGTTACTATATAGAAAAACCCTAAAATAAAATTTCATTTATAAAATATTTAAAAATACGGGGGATTACATCCATCCTAATTCATGAAAACAGTGACGGATAAATGGTACAACCCACACCAAATTAATGTACCATTGCAAAGACAAATGGCACTTGCAATTGTGAACTAAATTGTAAGAATATCATTTATATTCCACCACTGGCACTTGCAATGTACCTTTGGCACTGTATGTTGATTTTAATACAATTAGCCTGTTCGTGTAGATTGCAAAAAGTAATTCATGTAAAGTTGCTGCATAATCTGCAAAATGCAACAAAACGAGTCGCGCCAATAGTTATCCCAACAAAACATCAAATGCAGACATCACATCAAACACTTAGCCATGAGTGGACAGACCACCTCCACAGCCAAAGCAACCTAATAGTTACCCCTGAGTGGACAGACCACCTCAGGGAGGAGTACGTTTTCCAGCAAGTGTTTAAATGTTCAATAGACAGTACTCAGAGACACCACAATTTAACCCCAGAAAATAATTACACCATTGCCCAGGCCACTAACATAACACATCACAGTTTTCGCGTTGTTTTCCTAGAACCTGGAATCAAATCCCCCAAACCATCTTTCAATTCGTTCACTTCACACTGCACGTCGTCCAAGAACAAATTTGCCCGAGAACTAGGAATCTTCCTCTGTAAATGTATGAACAAACACTGTAGCCAACCACTTCAGAGATCTTAACACAAAACACAGATATATACACCACTTACCACACTGAACCTCGTGGTGAATCTTCTGGCAAAGAACTTAATACACGCCAGCATAAGAACACCACAGTATGAGCTGCACATTGGAGGACCACGATCAACATAAAAGTTGAACATACGTTCTTTTGACCTTTAAGCTAGGCTGAAAATTATTGGCATAGTAAGCAAATAAGGAAACAAGTGCTTACTTATCCTTTGGCTCTAAGATCTCAACAGTGCATCTCGTCCAAGAATGCAGCTGACCAGCCTTCCATGCTGGGTCACAGAGTCGGAAAAGGACATCGATACCACTAACCTGTAGTTTGACGAACACATTACACATAACCAAATGGTCCCAGTAAATACCATGTTTGTTTAGAATGAAAGGCATTAGTATTAGTACCAGAAGATCAAACTCTTTGGCATGTGTGGTGAACGGCTCAGGGTACATAGAATCTATCATCCACAACTGTCGAGCCTTCATGTCTAATGCTAAGCACCACCAGTGCGACTCGTCAGGGGAATCCTTAGGAACTTCGAGCACTGGGACAAAGACTTGATAAAATGACAATGTCAATGCCATAAGCACAATTTAGAGTATATGCATGAAACACATTTAAACCTACAGTATTGAATTATGAGAGTAAGTAGCTGACTGCTCGAATCTACGACAGCTTGAAGCTCAAATGAGATTTGGCATGCTTGTTACAAATATGTTCTTCTTTTCCTTCGTTCAACAACAGTCGATTCTACGATCCAGACAAAAAAAACAAGAAGCATGATCATCTACTGTGCACGTAAATATGACTCCCCAGAGCTGAAATGAACCACAAACCACTTACCGAAAAGCTTAGGTCAAGCAATATACGCTTGCTTCTGTTCCAAAAGTCTTTGGTGGCCCATTGCTTGGTGTATAGCACACTGTCCATTCTAACATAATAACTGGAAACCCGCGATTTATGGTGCACCACTTCATAGCAATCCCTCTGGTTGGCTTCCATGTGGTCACACTTTATCAACACAATACCAGGGCTATGAAGTGAAGCAACAACATAACACCAAGTATACACATAAACATATTATAATTTACAATTAAAACCAAAATATTACAAAAGGCATGCACAAAAAAGACTTTTCACTCAATTACACGTTTCTGAATTACCTAAGTGGATCCTTCAAGTCCTTCCAGCGCTTTACAAACTGCAGCAGACGTGCCTCGACCGTTGTATGGCGAGGGGTGTTTGACACATTGGTGAACATGGCTGACAAGGCTGCCTCTGTAGGTTTCACCACCCTCTTATCAGTAGTTCCGACCCCTTTCCTAGCAGACTCATCTTCCTCATCAGATGAAGATGAATTTGCCAAACTGCACCGAGCATCAACCAACGGTAGTTCCCCTCGTTCCAAGCAAGCCCACAACTATTTCAGGTCCAAGCTCCATGTTCTCATCTTCCACTTCATGATCAGAACACCAGCCATGGAACTTTAAGACAACACCTTCATCAACCACCTTGACCACAACCCCAGCCTCTGCAAATAGTGGATCAACCAAAATCTTTTGAACCACACGATCCAGGTCATCTTCACCTGAAACTGTATCAGCATGAGGATCTTCCCCACCAAGTCCGTTCGCACCTTCTTCTAGTTGTTCCTTCTCCAACAAACAACTACCTAAAGCCTGATCTTCATGCACAACAACTTCCTTCTCCGTTGGCTTACCCCTCTCCATTGGCTTCCCCCTAATCACTCTCTGGGCATTAGCTACGTCAACACACTGTGACATCAGCTGATGCATTGATTTCATAACGTCAGCTAATTTCAAGTCTATCACAGCCACCAACTTCGGAGTAATTCTATCTAACACCTTCAGGAAAGCATAAATACAAACTATTAACAACTGCCTTAGGACATGTCACTTATTTTATAAAATACAGAGTTACATCTAAACTTATCATTGACTTGCATTATACCAGCCGCGTAATATTTTCCGCGTCTACCTCCTGCGTAGTCTGTTGTACGTCAACTCTTTCCACCCTTTGCTTTGGAACCTCCCGAGGAGTCAACGGATGCTCCTCCCCATATGCTACATCCAGAGACTGCAAAAGAATCAAACAGAACAGCTTCAGCAAGGATGTATCCACATCAAATGAAAGTCAAACTAATACTAACCGGCAATTTTTCGAAATTCCCAGATTCTTTTTTTATCATCGCCAACCGCCTCATTGATCTTTTCTTCGGACCATGCTCGAGTCTCGGTCTCACACCCCACCTCATTGGGACGCGATTGAGGTGATCTAGATAAAAAATCTACAAAAAAATGGACAGGATGGATGATTTAGTTCAACTAACCATTACAAACGAGAAAACTGCAAAATTTAATAAAATTACTCAAAAAGCTTTTGGTGTATGGTGGAAAATACCCAATTTTACTCACCAACAAAAAAGGATACAACCCCCACAACCTGCAACATATCCATCACGAGCAAATTTCTTTTGGAAACTCCTGGCTACTAACCATCCAGTTAAATACATAAGTGCACCAGTCATACTCATCAGCTTCATCGTAAACCAATAACGACGGTACAAGCTTCACCCCAAGATAGCTTGTATTTGCCGTAGCACACAATAAGTAGCCTAGAGTTGTTATGAGAAAGGCTATCTTGAAATCAGCCTTCTCGTCATCCGATAGCGACAACACATTACCTTCCTCATCCTTTCGAATCAGTGCCCCCAAAGCAGCTACTAATGAAATGTGTTCATTTTTCCCAAACTTTTCCAAAATTCTACTATGCTCTGCCTGCTTATCCTCAGGAATCGTACACGGCAATTCCTTCGACCCCATGGGAATCCCAAGTACGTACTCGACCTGCACAGGACTCAAAGGAAGCACACACTCATCTCCAAAAGTTATCGAACCATCACCCATCACCCTTGTCAACAGCCAGTACACAAACTTCTGGGGTACAAAAGTCAGGGGTATACTTAACAACCCTCCAAAACCCATTTCTATGACCAGCTTCATCCTAGAGTCATCAAACTTCTTCACTGCAGTTGCAAAAGCCTTCACACCATGCAAATTTGGGGCCTACAACATTACATTCAAACAAGACAAACTTCAATCAAATGACACCGGCCCAAGCCTCACAAAATAACACCACTAACCGATTAAATTCCTTCTAGGTTACTCAAATTCTTCAATTCTAACTAATTCCTTTTTAGGTTACCTCAATTTTTTACATTTCCAACTAAATTACAGAAACTGTCCTTCCATATAAACCAGCTAAATGGAAACTAATTATACAATCCCATTCTAATTACTTGTGAATATTCTATAAGGGATTTTAATCTTGCACATCCAATTAAGGACTCACAATATTCATACTTAACTCACAACTCAAGTACAATTTACAATTAATCTTTAGTAATTCAGTTTATTTTCCCAACTACCTAAACAAAGGCCCAACCACAGAACTCCCAACAGACATTTCCATGTCATGGATTTCAACAAATAATGTTCAGAGAGTACCTTCTGCGTACTTCTTGATTGGGTTTTAACGACAACCCCTTTCTCCTTCGCCACTTCTCCCTTCGTCTTCTCGACCTACACATGACATTACACATTTCATTTCTCCATCCAAGTATTACACAACAAATAAGCTTTTATCATTTCCATGTAACATGACATACCTTTAGCTTGCCCCTTTTTCCTGTCCTTTTCTCAATATGACCTCGCTTGCACTTCCCTTTTTCAACCTTTTCCCGCAATAACTTGATCAGGAAATCCTGGTAGCTCACTTTGTCCTATTCTGGTTCTTCCTCACTACCTAGACCATCGTCCTCCGTATCATCATCTTCCTCATAATCACCAGATGTGGAAGCAGCATCATCAGAAACAGCTTCATCACTACTAAAATTCAGCATAACCACGATCATCAAAACCAGCTTCATCAGAGTCCTTTAAATACTCTACCTCAAAAACTGGATCAGATTTCAGTTTCTTCTTCCCTTTACTAGCTGCTTACTTTTTAGGCGCCTCTTCGTTCACGGCTTTCGACCGCGCCTACACAAACACAAATATTTGCCACCAAAAATCAACTACAACACACAACCATCACTAAGCAAACACACAATCTTTTAATTTCAACAAACAATAACTCACCATTCCTGATCCCTTGCTCTTCCTCGGCATTATTTCCTCCTGCCAAGCTCAAATGAACGCTCAATAAATGGGATTTCCCAACTACATAAAACCATTTCAACAAACCCTTAACTCTTCACATATAATTTCTCCACTACATTCACATATACATACCACAACAGTCATAATTTCTTAATGTAACAATAACCCAATATCACTTATTCATAATTCAATACGTCTTCCACAAATAACTCACAATTAATCACTCATTTACATGGATTCAAATTAAATTAAATACTTTAATTCAACACTCCTACCACCACACCCAAAACAATTTCGCTTGTTCATTACAATTAAACAACAAAGGGTAGCAAATTTCAGAGGTTACCAAAGCGTTACATAATCTAAATCATCATAACAACAAATTCATTCCAATTACGGGTTTCACATCCTCAAATTAATTCCAATTATAAAAATGATCAACAAAGGAAACCCTATTTCGCTAATTTCACTGGATAACCGTAAATCACATAAACTAAAACATCATAACAACAAATTCATTCTAATTAAGGGTTTTAGAACCACGCCCACTAAAATTTTTCCCAATTAAATAAATGATCAACATAGGTAACCCTAAATCGGTAAATTCACTACAAAACCCTAAATTACGTAAACTAAACTTCATAACAACAAACAATTTACAATTGCTTTTTAAATTTCTTAATAGCCAACAAATGCGTCCATAGCAAAATTGTTACAGTCGGTTTCCAGCCCATACCTTCAATCAAAGGAACCAACGACTGCCGGAATACAATTCACGCAACTGCTCACGATTACCACGCACCAAAATTCTTTTCTAGCTTCGGCAGCAACCACCGTCATAGTCTCTTCATTGGAACAGAGTACAGTAACTACAGGGTACACTTATACTTTTCAGTGAAACAACGCAACTAATACTCTCACTAACGAATATCTTTGTCCGGAAACCACCTCACTACGCTGCCGTCGAATTATGCACCTCCCGCCGACAATCAATGAGACAGAGCCGCTTCGTGAGATTAGAGAAGATGAGATAGAGAGAAGAGATGAAGAGAAAGAAACTAATTTTGGACCTAACTGAAAGAGAAAGAAAAACCCTTGAATATTGAAATTGACAAAAACGAGGATCCGTTACAATTCAAATAATAACGGGGTCACGTGCAACTCACCAACATTCAAGGATTGTAAATTTTTGTCCTTGCCCTCCTATATACATAGGATGCATATAGCACCTATGCGCTGATATGGACTCTAAGAAACTTTATAAAAATTAGCCTAGCTTTTTCTCTCTCTAAAATTGTTGCAGCTAATTCTTTTTCTCTCTCTCATCTGATGTTCCCTTTCTTTTCTAGAAATTCAGCCAACTTTTCCCTTTCTTTCCCATAAATCTTCGATTGCAATGCCTCAATATCATCAATTTTCAGCTTGAATCTTCAATTATTTTGTTAGGTCTGTAATAATTACTTATAATTTGATTTTTGGCTTCAATCTTTAAATATTGTTATCTTATAATATTTTTCAATTTCACTTTAAACCTTAGAAATCATGAATTGCTAAATGGATTCAACACAAGCTCCCAACAACGAAGCAAAATCTCCAGTTCTTACCTATGAACGAAGAATGTAAGTAACAATTTATTGATTTTTATTTTGTAGCGTTTTTACTTGTCAACACAATCAATTTATTGATTTTTTCGATTTTTTGTCACTGTAATTGAGCAATTGAAGAATTGTGTGATGTATTTCTTTAGTATTTTGGAACTTTAGAAGTAAAATACGTTGATTACAATTTCTGTAAATTTTCTATTAAGCATGATTTTAAATAGGATTTTTTTGGTTTTATTGACAACAAATCATGAATTGCTTTCGTTTTGTCCATTATTTATTTGCTCATTTTATTTTACTTTGCTCATTTTATTTGAGTTTCTATGATGATTCTTGAACTTGTCGTCTGACTTAAAACTTTATCTTTTTATGTACACTAATATTATTTTTGATAATCACTAAAAATGAATGGCCTGTGATGATTCATGAACATTTCATATGAAATGGCATTGGTGTGTCTTGAGTTAGTGTAATTAGTGAAAAAATCATGTATAAACTTTGATGTTATTAGTGTAATATTAGAGCAATTTGATGTTATATTGTTGGATACATGTATTTTCCATGTGTTGGTCAGATTTTCGAAGTAAATACCTTATGGAAATTGGATTGGTGTTTAAGTTGAAGATTAGGGAGTATGCACTTTTTCTAGAGCGAATTAACATTGTCCTAGCCTAATTTTGGCTCGGTTTGAGTAGATGTTTCTAAGCCAAAGTTGAAGAGTGTTAAGAAATATGCATAGAGGGATGTTGTCTAAGCCATCTAGAAAATTGTCCGTTACCTGGGCAAGTCTTGTTTGTAGGAGGTATCATTTCTATATGTTCTGACATAACCGCTAGACAATGAAATAACCAGCAACTATCATCATCTTCCTACATGTTAGGGCCCATGATGTTAGTTAGATTTTCAAAAAAATGATATTAATTGATATCATTTGTATATACTTCTTAAAAGTCATTTGCTAATATTTTATTTAGATGAAAGTAACTAAAATTACTCGTATTTCACTTGTGGTAGGAATGCTCGCTGAACCAAGTAAATGAAATGATGCTTCATTGTGATCAAGGCCTGCAACATGTACATTGGAACGCTATATTTGAGATGCAGCATATGGGAATTGTAGATAACAATTTAAGGTAGAGCTTTAGTCCTTGTCACTATTGCTTTAATGAGAGTATATGTTCATTTCATTCAGCTATATATCTGATTACTACTTACTTTTAGATTAAACTGATTTAGCATGTGACGATGTGATTGCTTATTTTTACTTGATAACTTCCTATGCTACTGATGCGTGCTTTGGTTCTTATATGTATTCGATCTGCAAAAAATGTTTGCTCTGTTCTGCTAGAAAATTTTACTTTGGTTGCTATTGATAATTGGCTCTATTGACTGATAATTGGTTCATCAGTGTTGCATTCTAAACTTTGATTATATAATGCTTAAATGGGAAGCATAGAATTGTAGGCATGAAAATAAGAGCTTGCTTAGCATATTTAAGAAAGTGTTTTTATTGACCTTAGCAGAATTGTAGGCATAAATATAAAAGAAAATGATCTGTCATTAAAAAAAAAAAAAAAAAAAAAAAAAACTTTTTTGGAGTGTAAATGATGTGCTAATGCTTGCATCACATGGCTCAAGGAAATTAGTTAATCCTTGCATTGTGGGGTGATGTTTGGTTGTATATTCAAATTTGTAGCTTATAGAATGTAAACTCTATTGCCTCTCGTCGTCTTTGTTCTTTTTTTGTTAAAACCTTTTGTTCCACAACAATATTTGTCTTAGTTAATTTTTGACAGAGGTTAAAGAAGTATAGAAGAGCTAGTAGAAATGTTTTTGATGAAACAGTGAGTGAACTTATATCAGGACAACCAATTTAAACCTTACCACATAACAAAATGAGGACTAATTTTGTGAGCTAATATTGTGAGCTAAAGTTTTTTTTTTTTTTTTTTTTTTTTGCAAAAGCTGGTTAGTAGTTGGCGTTACTTTAGCTTTTCAAAATTGTTTGGATGTGATGATTTTTTAAGTTAACTTATGCCCATCAACTATTGTTTTAATGGTCAGATTTAAAATTTATTAAGGTATGCCTTTTCTTCTTTTGACTACAGATCAAAGATTAATGATCCAGAGAAAGATTTGTCTGTGAGAGTAGCTGCAGCTTCTAAATACTCGACGTGCAATTTCTATCTTCAAGGGAAAACGTCAGCTGCTGCTGATCATTCCTCACAACTTCTCTAAATCCCTTGTTTTCAATTATAGTACTCTTTTATTTTTTTTCCCTCCCTTTTTCTCTCATAGTTCGAGGAGACCTCTGATCTCCATGTATATTTACCAGTCTATGCTAATGGAGGCAAGTGGACAAACAACCTCAGACCTACATGAACTTATGTGGCGAATCTGTGAGTTGGCTTCCTAGGACTCCATTGTGTTATTATTGAGATTTTTGAATGAATGTGGATGATACTCTGCTTATTACAAGAATATCATATGCTTGTTGATTGCTCATTTGGATGAAATGAGCAAAGAAATACTTGTTAATTTAATGAATGATTAAAGAAATGTTTGCTCATTTGACAAATGAGCAACTAACTATTTGCTCATTTGACAAATGAGCAACTAAGTGTTTGCTCATTTGTTAATTTTTTTTTTTTTTTTTTTTTTGACAAGAACAAATGATGAAACCATAAAACAATCCTACTACAAATTAGCGAGGTTAATCCGGCAGTTCCTAGCTATGTCATTGGCCTTTCCTACCTGATCCCGCTGGACTTTTAAAATTGTGCATCTTTGAAACGAAGCCCCTACTTTCCTAATCTCCTTTAATAACCAAACTATCGAGATGTCCTTACCAGATCTTTCCTGCAGGTTGTTTAGGAGACCAATGGAGTCAGATAGAATAAGAATTCCTTGTATCCCTTTCTCTCGAGCCCAATTCATTGCTTCCAGGCAAGCACAGGCTTCACATTGTAGAACTGACGCTGTTGCTCCATGTTTTCCTCCTTTATCGAGGTCAAAACCGTTGTGATTAGTTTTAACAGCCCATCCTATCCTGCTCGCCTTATATTTTTATCCCAGGATCCATCGACTTCCATAATGAAATTATCAAAGCCGTTGTATTCCTTTCCCAGATGCACATAGTTAAATCCCGGAGGGATGATCGGATCATCTCTCTTAGTGGCCCTCCACTCATTTGTTGACCTTGTCTTGTGTATAAATGCTTCATGATCTTCCATGGCCAGATTAATAAATTCCTTTACTAAACTTATCGACCCCGGTGTACCTTTGAAGCATCTTGCGTTCCTAGTTTTCCATAGCCCCCATAACGTTGCAACAAACAAAGCACATCGGTTGCTGTTCTTACCATCCTCGCTATTAAACAGCAGGATATAATGTTGGATCCATCTTTCCAAAGAGTTGAATCCAGAAGAATCAGGGAAAATAGTTAAGGAGTTGTTCTCCCAAAATTCTTTTGCCAGAATACAGAATCTGAAGAGGTGTTGGCTGTCTTCCAATTCTACCCCACAATGGTCACAGACAGCTTCTACTCGTATTCCCCTTCTTACCAGGTTAAGTTTAACTGCTATACCGTCATGAAAGAGCTTCCAAAGAAAAACGTTCCATTTTGGTTGAATGACCAGTCTCCACACTAGCTTTACAAGCTCTTGATCCCTTGCTAAGAATTTTGATCTCTCTACCTCCCCTTCTTTTGATAGATAATAGTGCCCAGTTTTAACTGTGTACCTTCCCGACGGATGATATTTCCAATAAAGGAAGTCATCCTCCTCCGAAGACCGAGGGAGCTCCATTGGCAGTATCGTTTTCGCACTTTCCCAGTCGAAACACTCCTTTATTTTACCAGCATTCCAAGTATAATCGTCCCTGTTAATGAAATCCTTCACTTTCCAGTTTGCTGCTACTCTAAGAGTTTGACTTGATTTAACAGTTGGTATGTTACCATCGACCCATGGCATACTAATGGCCTTGATATTATTGCCATTTCCCACCTTCCAAGCAAAACCTTTCTTAAACGCTTGGATGGCCTTTTGAAGACTTACTCTTCCCATTGAAGAATTTCTAATAAGCTGACCAATGATACTACCGATGCCACATGGATGGAAACTCTTGTGCACTCTTGAAAGTAGGAGCTGGGGATTAAGGTGCATTCTTGTTGCTTGCTTGAAGAGGAGAGCATCATTGATAAATGAACTACCTCTAATTCCCAAACCTCCCATACTCTTAGGAAGTTGGATGAAACTTCTACTCACCCAGTGTATCCCTTTATCCCCCTTTCCCGCCCACCAAAAATGAGTAATCAAAGCATAAATCTTGCTTACAACACTCTGAGGGAGTTTCAGACATTTCATAACATGTGCCGACATACTTACCAACACCGTGTTGATAAGAATCAGTTTTGCTGGTTGAGAGAGCCTTAAAGATGCCCATGCCATAATTCTTTCCGAAACATTATCCACCAAGAATTGGAAGTAGCTACTCTTTTTCCCTTGGATGTCAATCGGAGCTCCCAAATGAATCCCCATGTTAGCTGATTCTGGCATCGAAAGGATTTGTTTCATACTCACTTTCATATCAATATCAACCTCCGGCGAGAACTTGATGACAGACTTTTGGAGGTTAAGCTGCTGGCCAGAGGCTTTACCAAACCTATGGAGAATATCTGAGATACACATACATGACTCCTTATTTTCCTTGAAGAAGAGCATGGCATCATCTGCAAAGAACAGATGAGAAATAGATGGAGACCTTCGGGATACCTTTAGACCTTGAATTTTCTTGATATCCTCGGCCAGGTTCAACATTCGTGACAAAATATCCATACACTGAATGGAAAGGTACGGGGATAGAGGGTCCCCCTGTCTCAGCTCACACTTAGGAGCAAAATGATCACTAGTTTTCCTGTTTATGATTGCCTTGAAACTAACCGTCGAAAAACACTGTGAGATCATCCTTATCCAGTGGTTTGAGAATCCCTGACTTTGTAGGACTTTCAGGATAAAGAGCCAATCCACTCTGTCATATGCCTTGGACATATCGATCTTTACCGCTGTAAAATTAGACCTTTTCTTCGAGTTTATTAGACTTAAAAGAATATTGTCCTCCATATACCTACCAGGTATGAAAGCATGCTGATTTTCCGTGATAAGACCTGGCAGAACCGACTTTAGCCTGTTCGCCAAGCACTTAGAAATGCACTTATACACCGTGTTGCACAGGCTAATAGGTCTGAAATGGCTAGCAAGTTCAGGAACCTTAACCTTTGGAATCAACACCAGCAGAGATTGATTCCATTCTTTGAGCATATTTCCTATCTTCAAGAATTGCATTACGCTATCTGTAACCAAATTTCCAACCTCCTTCCAATAAGTTTTGAAGAAATCCACCGTAAACCCATCGACTCAGGAGACTTCGAGCCATGCATATCGAACATAGCTTTTTTAATTTCACCCTCCGAGAAATCCCTATCAAGCCAAGTACGATCCTCTTCTGAGAGAGTGGGGATGTCGAGCTGTCGAAGTAGAAGAACTATATATTCCCCATGATTCTCAGGCAAAACCGGGTTGTAGATATCCTTGATTGAGGATAAGATCACCTCTTCAACCTCTCTTTGTCCCTCCACCCATGCATCCTCCTCATTTCTTAGGGTTAAGATTGTGTTATGCAACTGCCTTTGTTTCACTCTCCTGTACATAGTGGGTGTTGGACAGTCCCCACACCTAATCCAGTTCGCTTTCATTCTTTGATTCCAAAAACTAAAACTCAGTTGGCTTTCCGGGATGAGGTGGTTTATCTACCGAATATACCCCTCCCCTTCCTGAATTGAGCTGATGTTCATCCCAGAGCTTCGGAGATCCTTAGTAAGCTTCCTCCAATTTATTCCCCAAACTTTTTTATGTTCCAAACACCAGTATTGGAGTTTACACCTTAGCCTATCTAACTTCCTTGAAAGCTGGAACATGAAAGACCCTGAAACCTCCTCATTCCAAGTATGCTGCACCATATTCTTGACTTCTGGGAAAGCAAGACACCAATTTTCAATTTGATAGGGCCTATTAGAGACCATTTCTGAAGGTTGGTCGTGATAAGTAATAGCCGCATGGTCGGAACACACAATTGGTTCATGAATAATTCTCCCATCCGGAGAGTGATCAAACCATTCCTCTGTCACATAGGCCCTATCGAGCCTTTCTAGTATCAACTCATCTCCCTCCCTTTTATTGCTCCAGGTAAATTTCGAGCCCGAGAAAGGAACTTCTATCACATTGCTGCTGAACCTTCAATCCAGAAAGGCCTCCAGGCCTCTAATTCTAGTTGAACCCCCTAGTTTGTCGCTTCCACTTTCAACTTGATTAAAGTCTCCTATTACAAGAACATTTTTAAACTCTTCTAAAAACCATTGCAATTGTTCCCATATTATCCTTCTCTTTTCAACTTGAGGTTCGCAATAAACAAACAAGATATACTTCCAACTACCATTTGATTCATTCATCTTACATAAGATAAAGTTTTTAGAAGAAAACAAGCAATCTACTACTTCATTAGACCAAACTAAAACTAGAAGGCCACCACTACTACCTTCCGAATTCCACCCAAAAGTGGTAGTAGGACCTAAAGACACTAACCTAGACGTGGCCGATTCAACATCCATCTTAGTTTTCGATACAAATAAAAACTTAGGGAATTTCGTACGATAAAGCCACACAAGATAAGGGATTGCAAGGGTGTGTGGGTCATTTAGGCCCCTGCAATTCCAATCCACGATGTTCATAATTCTGTCAGGGGCTGGATAAGAGCAGCCACCTCACCCTCCGTAGTAAGCTTGATTGAGTCAAAAATGGATAACTGTAGATCAATGTCCATATCATCCCTAACCTCCCTCAAAGGCGATGTCACCTCTTCACTTTTCTGCCTTTTAGGAGCCTCAGAAGAAGAAGAAGAATGGTCCTGGGGCCTTTTGTTCCTACCCCTCATGCGCAGATCTCCGTCAATGTCTACCCCGAACTCTCTCGCCATGTCCGGATCCAAGATTGCCTTCGAAGCAAACCTACACCCCCCATTCTCATCTCGCAACCAAATCGAAAATCCTCCCTTTTCCGACCACCTGTGCAGCCTTTTGAGCCTCTTTCTTTCAGCCCACTCATAATCAGTTTCACTATATCTAACTGAATCTCCTTCATATGAATGTGGCTTGTGACCAACTGCCTCTCGAATTCTCTTCTTGGTATTAGAACTGTCATCATAGTTAAACAAATCTGTAAAGTTAAAAGAGCTAAAATGAGATACCGGCGTATTAGGGGGATCGAACTCCGTGAGGGGGAGATTACGCAGTCCCGCTAAATCCGCCGTTGACAGCCTTAGAAAAGGTGTCGAAGTAGGTCTTGCATTGCCACGCAGTTCTTGTATCTCCAACCTCCTGGCATTCTGGATTCCCAAAGACAAGATGGTGCCTGCTTCAATAATCTTTGCGTACTTATCATCAATTTGCTGCTCAAAATCATCTTCTCTTCTTGTAGCCATAATTTAAGGACTATCCAGCCAACTATGGGCGTGATTAGTCAAAGAAAAGCCCATTGCTGAAACCCTTTCTCCCCCCGACCGTGACTTACTTCCTGTCTCCTTTCAAAAGTTATAGGAGATAAAGCCCATTCCGAGATACCCAGAGTGTGAAACAAAGTACCAAGACCCCTTCCTTGTCTATGCTCCTGCCTTGCAGGCTCCCCCACCTCGAAATTTGAGCCCCCGAAAAAGGGCCTGGTCGGGGGTGGATGAAAGTGCCCCTCTTCTAGAGTCTCCGAAACCCTAACACCAAAAGACCTGCTAGGGTTTACTTCGCCTTCCCTCCTTGAAGAGCCGAAATGATCAACATCCTGCCTATCCTCCTCCCCTCCAACACTTTGACGCCCCTCATGATTCACATTCTTCTTTGAGAGATCAAGCCCCTGTTGCGTAAATTCTGCATATGGATCACCACTAAGACCCAATCGTCGACCAGGAGACAACGCGAGATCCGGCTCAACATGTTCCATTTCCCGTTCAATTATCTCCGAGTCTTAATTTGACCAATCGTCCCTGCCAAAGTGAAATTGTTCACTCTCTTCACTATCTTGTGTTGATAGTGAGTCCTCATTTGTTAAATTAGCAACTAACTATTTGCTCATTTGCTAAATGAGCAAAAAATCGATTGCTCATTTTTCAAATGATCAAAGAAATGTTTGCTTATTTTACAAATGAGTTACTAATTATTTGCTTATTTGACAAATGAGCAAACTAATGGTTGCCCATTTCACAAATGAGCAAAGAAATGAGCAAACTACACTCAATTAGCATGTAGAGTAGTGTGAAAATGCAGAGTTTGAAAATTTTGAGTAATTAATGAAATTTATTTCTTTTGGCTATTGGGAAAACAATACAAAAGACACCCACTATTACAGGTTATAAAATTGCAAAACAATTCTTTGCTCATTTATCAAATGAGCAAACTATTTAATGCTCATTTGTCAAATGAGCAGATAATTTTGGCTCATTTTGTCAAAAATTAATATTTATTTTTTACTAATTTGTCAAAAATGAGCAAATAATTTGATCAAAATCAGAAATTAATTTTTTGCTCATTTGTCAAATGAGCAATTATTTTTTGCTCATTTGTCAAATGAGAAATTATTTTTTGATCATTTGTCAAATGAGCAAAAAAATTCAATGCTCCTTTGTCAAATGAGCAAACTATATAATGCTCATTTGTCAAAGGAGCAAATGATTCTTGCTCATTTTGTCAAATTAATGCTCATTTGTGAGGTGTTTGAATGTTTTAAATACGTTAGCCTACTAGCTCAAGGGTAGAGCATTGTGCAAATGCACAAAAAATGTGGGTTCGAATCCCATGTAGGTTCATTTATGTAATGTGGAAACACAAGTTTGTATGAGAGTTTAATTGTAACAAAGTTTATAGTTATAAATCATTTCAAACCATTTTTTTGCTCATATAATTTAGTACGAATTTGATTTTTATTTTTTTAATTAATTTTGTTTATAAAGATAACCTATGTAGGAATTGAACCTACGTCCCCTATGCATTTTCATAGTGCTCTACCAATTGAGCTAATAGGTTCACATATGACATGTTGCCCTTTGCGATACTGGATCAGTTCCAGACTTTGGAGAGTAGACAAAATATCCTCTGCTTTGATGGTTGTCATGTCACTAAACTCCTGCAGAACAAAACAAAAAATAACACTTCTAATATAATTAGAAATCTTCCTTGTCAATTTCACAATAATTTAAAACAAAAATAGCAAAAGAAAAAACAGATATGAAGTTAATCTATATCACCTCGCAAGTTTAAAATCCAACTACACTGAAATAGGAAATCTCAGGGTTTAAGCTTTAACAAAAGTGATTGCTCGTATAGTCGTACTATGTTAACTGCTATATAGGAAAGCACAACCATATGGATTTCCTATAATTTATCGCGTGTACAGCAACAGAAACCACGTTCCAAAACACATACTCGAACTCAGCTAGATAATATGGAACCAATTTAACATGTGAAAAGAAAGTAATACATTTCAAACTGAGTATCAGGATTATCAAGCAACTCTATCTCAGTCATAACATAACAAGATCCACAAAACATATTAGGTGCAAAAAAAAAATATCTATGCTAACAAAATAACAAGGTCCACAGACTACCCTAAATTTCCTCATCAGCTCTATACACTTCACTTCTTTGGTTTCTTGGCTCTGCAAAGTATTAGGTCCCAGGTTAGATACTTGTGTAAATCAAATATACAGGCACAGAATAGGAAATTTTCTTTTGAGCAATTACAGAGAACAATCAACTTACTGTGTTGGCTTGGCAGCAGCTTTGGTACCGCAGCTGCTTCAGGTTGTTTGGGTGCTTCAGCATTTGGTCCTTGTAGAATGGTTAACACATGTTATTAACACGTAGTAGCAAGAAAATCCAAATGCGTCAATAGACATTTTTTTCAAGTTACAAAGTAAACATTGCATATAAATTTACCAGTGCCAAACGCTCCTCTCTTCTGGCCAATTTCCTCTCCTTGCTAGCCTTGTTCTTGGCACGTTTAGCCTCAAATTGGTCAGACAAGGTCTTGTCTCTAGCCTTCTCAGCCTTAGTCTTGTGGATGCTCTCCATCAATACTCTCTTGTTTTTGAACACATTACCCTTGACCTTCATGTACATGTCATGGTACATGTGCTTGTCAATCTTCTTTGACTCTCGGTACTTACGGAGTAACCTCCTAAGAACTCTGATCCTCCTCACCCACAAAATCTTGGTTGAAAGCCTAGCCTCCCTGGTACCCTTACGCTTACCTAAAATAGACCAAAATCTTGCTCAATATTGCACAGTTTCATAATATCAACAGCCTTAATACTTAGCTATCAACCAAATGATTCCCATTTTATCATGTAACAGGCAATACACAACAATTCACTAGAAAAATCACATGCCATTATTGTTGAATGCTCTCCAAGTGATCATTAGTGTTTCCGGTAGCTAATTTACTTAATGTGAGGAGCTTCATACACATCAACTACACATTAAGTCAATACACAAACCAACAAATTTAGACAAAAGAAAATTCAACAATTAACACAGGTTAATGGTGCGCATGCCGTATCCTGAGTGACGACCCTTCCTTGTTAGATACTACAAATAAAATCAATACAAGTGATTAATTATAATTTCCAACATCTTCCTCTAAAACAAGGGAAATCCTAACATCGAAATTTTACAAGGTCTTTGTTTATTCAAGATGAACTAGCTACTAAGTTGTCATCCCTAACAAATTCCATACAAGAGTCGAGCAGATCCTGGAAAATGAGGTTTGGTGTCTCGCTCTTGGCGAGAGACTTGTTCACCTCAGATATCAAGTGCTCAAGAGCTTCTTTCTTGAAACAATGTGCATTTTCCTCAGAATAACTTTAACCATGCCTCCTTTGAATATGACTGCTGATGACTGGAAGGATGGCAAGCAACGCTTGAAACTGCTTCGACTAGATTGTCATCCTCCATTTTTAATCTGAACCTTTCTGTAACGCGTTTTGGTGGCGGGATATGATCAACTTGCACCAAGTGTCTCCATGTTGCTTCAACTGCTTCAACCTAGGGAATCCACAATTTGTGAAGTTAATTAGAAAGTCAAGTACGGATTTGTAGAAGAATTTTTTGATAAAGAGAGATGTGGGCTACAGACAGACCTTTCCAGCAGCAGAAGCTTTTAGGACCATCCAAAGATGTCGCTTGGTATTGAAAGGATGTCCATGCATCAGCATCTGCTCATAGGCATACTCGAAATCATCCCATCTTTCCTCCCGGATACAAGCTTCTAGCATCGTATTGAATGTACTGGCATCAGGAACAATCCCGCTCTTGGTTTTTCTGCTTTCCTGTCCACTTTGTATCATCTTTTTAAAGATCTCTTTAGCTTCATCAAACATCCCATATCCAAGATATGCTTTAAGCATAATGTTACAAGTTGCAGTATTTGGGGAGCAATACTTTTGCATATAGTTGAAGATGTATGTCGCATCATGAATATTTCCGCTGGATAAACAGGCTTGGATTAAACCAGTAAAAGTCACTACCAGAGGTTTACTAGCAACTTTACATATCTTGTCGACCTGTGATGTGTCACAAAACTTGCATGATTTTTTTGCTATCAGGGAGTCAATATAGCATAGGATGATAGACAGTATCTAACATGTCCATTTAGCACAAGCTTGCATTTTTTTTTTTCCTTTTTTTGCTATTAGGGACTTAATATAGCATAGGAGTCCATGTATATGTATTTGCCCAAATTAATACCATTAAGAGAATGTGTTTAGTACTTGAAAAAAAAACAATTTAGCCTCTTAATGCAGAAATGGAGTATAGTAGGAACGAATGCTGGATGAAATACGATGTAAACTATTACATACTTGCATCAGTGCTTCTTCACACCTTCCCACACTACAGAGACAACGAGCGAGGTCATAATAAAGACTGGCTGGACCTACTTGTCCCTGATATTCCATGTCTTGAACAACTGCAATAGCCTCATCTGGTTTACCTTCTTTCCAAAGAGTATTAACAAGAACTGCAAAGTGGTAACTAAATAAGTCATCAGGTAAACATTCAAGAAATAATATCCTAAAATAGATGATAGGCTATACCTCTATATGTTAAAGCACTAGGGACAGTAAATCGTTGCACTTCCTTAAAATACTCATAGACAAAGTCGTACTTTCCGCATGCTAACATAACCTGGTTCAAGGTTACAGTTATCAGCTATGTTATCAATCTGAAGACATCAAAATATCACAGGAATCTGTGTGCTCAACAAAGACAAATGGGAGCACATGCATGTATGGGAATAATTGCAACCCCCTTGTCATGTTTGAAATGGAAAATCAGTTACATGCTAAAAAAAAGACCTAAATTGATTTACTGCATCCACGATAACAACCAAAAGAGAAGATCCCAAGCCATATGCTATTGAAACAACTATATTAACCAAGAAAGAAAGAAAGAATTGAACTCACAGAATATTTGCACAATAGTTTTTATGTTTTCATGAGGTGAATGGAGCAAAGATATTCTACCTCCATAGCAAGTCCGTATGTTGTGCTTGTTGGCTGTTGACCAATTTCTTCCAATTTCTGCAAAACCCATACTGCTCCTTCCCATTGTTTGCTCTTAACACAACCGTTCAAAACCTGAAAGCAATTTAAACTTCATCACCTTTTCATATCACGCTGTCATCAAAACTCTTTTTCTTTGCCACACCCTCTTTTATTACAATCATCATTAATCTTCTTGTTTCAATCATTTCAACATATATATCCTAGATGCCAATTTTGATGAGGATGGTCCACTAGTACAACAATAGAAACAAATAATTTCTACTCTTATTGTACTTACAGCATGGTAAATTACAATGTCGGGCTCAAGCCGTGGATCCCAATCACCGTGATCTTCAACTTTGAAGTTCTTTAGCATAGATCTCATGTTGTCAATTACTTCAAAAAGTTCCTTCATATGACCAACTTGCCCAAGAGTAACAGCAATTGAGCGATAAGTTACGATGTCAGGATAAGTAGTCTTGTGTCGCTGCAGTGGAATACAAGCATCAGTCAGAGTTTACCCTATACTGAAGAAATTATTATTTTAAACTACAATCAAACACCACAACTGGGGAGGGTGGAGGGACGGGTACACTGGGGAGCTTAATCAATAAAAAACAAATACCTGCATCGTGCAAAACAGATTTAGTGCTTCCACAGGTCGTCTTGCTTTCCCAAGCACACCAAGTGCAGCTGTGTAGACATATCTAAAATTAAAAGCATGATTTAACAGAAGTAAATTTCGGTGTCAGATAGATATTGTGTATATGACAAATCTGACATTAGGCACAGTATAATCTGCAACTTAATGCAGAATGGCCGTGCTTGAATAAAGAGACACAAAGGCCCAAATAACATATGTTTGATACCAATGTCAAGAAGTCATCTTGTAAAGAAGCTAGAGAAGGGAACAGAAACAATAACCAAACAAGACAAGGAAAACTAGAAGACGCTTTACCACTGTCAATTTCCTCTCTCAAAGAATGAGAACATATAGAACAGTTTTGTATTTCATCTTTTTTATGACCACCCTCCTCACCTCTATGGCTATCAACTATAACCGAATTGCAGCATATTCAAAGAAGCTCTTCATAATTCTAAAAGACAGAAGAGTAAAGGCCCTTTCTCATGATCCCATGCAAGAGGGAAGCCTAAATCGAAAATAATTCATGATGGGCCTTAGGGCCAATAATGTATTTTTTTTACCTAGCCATTTTTGAGATAAGAAAAGGGTAAATCAGGGGATTTTTTTTTACGAATTCTAAAATCTTTCTCATCATTGGCATCTTACTTAAACCGTTACTCCTTAATAATGGAGACTTGGTGAGAAACAAACCTGATATTATTGGATTTGTAGCGCTCTTGCATTTGAAGCCAATCAATTAATTGCAGCACCCTTCGCCAATTTCCATATTTACCCAATATCTGAATAACCTTAAACATAGAATGATCAGAATATCTAATTCTGGCACTTCTCATTATCTTAGCAAACATCCACTCTGGCATGTCCATATCAGCATAATTTAAACTGGTTGAAAAACAAAATATGTCATCAACTATATCTAGATAAAACACATATATAGGTAAATACATAAGTAAATAACACCACAACGCGAACTACTACTCACTAAAACTAACTGCATATAGCATTTGGCCAATCATGCCAGATGCCAACCAAAAAGATACCTAAAAAAAAAAACTTACTTTTGGTTTGTTCTCTAATAGTTGGAAAGATATGCTGACTACTTAGGGGCATGAAGTTTGAGGTTCAATGCAATATAAGATCTCCCAAACTTTCCTTTTTATTTTCCTTTCACTCCCCATGCTCTCCGAGTCTCTCCTCTTTAGATGGGGGACAAGAGAGTAAATGCCACATAATTCGAGGAACCCCCATAGATGAAAACCAGATATCGCATATGACTTGCATGTAGCCCCCCCCCCCCCCCCCCCCCCCCCTTTTTGTTTTTTTTTTTCTCAATTTCCCCTTATAATACACCAAATTCAACACTTAACGATCACATATCTATTAATATCTCTTCACATCACATGCAAGGGTCTAGGGTGGTTGGGGAAAGGAGCATGTAATTTTATAGATTTGTACAACTTTGACAACAAGCGATGAGACTTAAAGGTATTCCCCAAGTCTTAGGAAGGGCTAAGTTAAAATTGCATTAATCTGAGATCATTCAAGCACCTAGACTAGCACAAAAAATTTAGCATATGCATAAAAGAATATTTGTATGCCAGTGTGCTGAAGTGCAAATACCAACCATTTAGCAAGATTCTCTATCCTTTCATCCATTATCATCTTTGAAACTCGCGGACCATCCAGGTCACCATTAAGCAACTCAGACTGTTGGAAGATAAACCTTTCCGTCCCCAAATCATCATCAACACTCATCTCGTTCACTGGCATGCTCTTCTCTTTAATGAACTTGGTCCTTGTAGAAGCAGTGGTGGCCACATCAAGTTTCTTGCTCAAACCAGTTTTTGATCCTACATAGCTCAACACTTTCTGTGGTCCTACACTGCTTCTTGCTTGAACCCTTTTACCTCTTTCTTTTCAGCAACTCCTTCAAACCTTTCAAAGAATTTACCTCCTTCCTTAGAATCCAACCTTTTAATCCACTTTTTCAGAACAGTCTCACCCTGTTTCTGATGCTGTGAGGAACATCTTTACTGAATGCAACATTGCTTCTTGCTTGAACCTTACCACCCACCTCTTTCTTTTTAGCAACTCTTTCAAAACTTTCAGAGCATTTATCTCCTTCCCTAGAATCCGATCTTTTAACCCATGTTTTTTGAAAAGTCTCACCCCATTTCTGAAGCTGTGGAACATCTTTACTGAATGCAACGTTGCTTCTTGCTTGAACCTTACCACCCACCTCTTTCTTTTTAGCAACCCCTTCAAAACTTTCAGAGCATTTATCTCCTTCCTTAAAATCCGACCTTTTAAGCCATGTTTTTTGAAAAGTCTCACCCCGTTTTTGAAGCTGTGGAACATCTTCACTGAATGCAACATTTCTTCTTGCTTGAACCCTACCACCCACCTCTTTCTTTTCAGCAACTCCTTCAAACTTTTCAGGGAATTTATCTCCTTCCTTAGAATCCGACCTTCTAAGCCACATTTCTTGAATAGTCTCGCCCCGTTTCCGATGCTGTGGAACATCTTTACTGAATGCAACATTGCTTCTTGCTTGAACCCTACCACCCACCTTTTTCTTTACAGCAACTCCTTTAAACCTTTCATAGCGTTTATCTCCTTCCTTAGAATCCGACTTTTGAAGCCACGTTTCTTGAACAGTCTCACCCCGTTTCCGATGCTTTGGAACATCTTTACTGAATGCAACATCAGTATGCTTCTTTCCAGGGCCACTCCCTCCCTTAACTTTCTTCTTCTCTCTATCAAGTCTAATAGACTCCATCGCCTTCAAATACTTGTCAAATGAAGACTTAAATTTAGTGTCTTCTTTCACAATATTGTCTCTCTCTATCTGTGAAGCTGAGAGAGCATTATTAACATAATTTCGTCGTCTCAATACTAAAACCAATTTTTGCTCATTCTTTCTTCTCACATTAGAAACAACTCCAATGGCAGGTGTCTGAAATTTATAAATGACAAATATACTGTATTAAGGCCAATTACAAAATGATTGAAAATTGCAACACAGATAAAGATTACACACAAAAAATTGCTCAATTAACATAAATTTAGATATTACTCCTTAGTATTCTTTACTATAACTCAAATTATTTTACATATTATACCCATATTTTAGACAATCAACATCTCAATTGCTCAATAGACAAATCATTCATACAATTTGTAGTTTTGTAATGTGAATTTTTAATTTTAGCAGGTAATTGTACACAATAAATTTACTCATAGTTTCAAATTATACTGTAAAAAAATAAAAATGAAATTTAAAACATCAAATAATTCCAAAATAGCAATAAAAATTTGTCAATTTATTGAATAAATACCTGAAGCATGAACCCCATAGGCAATGAAATGCAACTCATTGAATTCACTGGCATTGCAGCCGCTTCTCTAAGCTCACCTGAAAGCGCTACCCCAAAAAATAAATAAAAAAAATATATTAAACCCACCAAAATTTAATCAAATTGGCTACATCCCTCTTCGTAATTATCAAAGTTTGAATGTAATTTGAACAGCAGAGAATAAAAATTGGAACTTGAAATAGTTGAAAGGTATTACCCAAATTAAACAAGAAGATAGAATTTTGCTGAAGGATGTACATGACACACTCAAATACTCAATTCATACAAGAAATGGGAAGCTTAATGGCATGATAGATACTCCGCAGTAGAAACTAGAAAGTTAAAATTCATATCTCAGATAAGTGAGGGAGGGATAGATGTTGAAGAAGGTAGAAAGAGGATAGTTTGCCAAAACACCCTTTGATAAAATATTAAACATGTTGCTGGCCCGCTATATCTCTCGATTGACTCGTAACAATCCAATGATGGTGAACATGGTTTTTATACAATAGGTGGCATATGAGTCGTGAACTTGTGATAGACTGCTTAGGGATTAGGATGAACATGGTTTTTATACAATAGCACAAATTCATCCTCTGAAAACTCTATAATCAGCTCCTCAGCCAAAGTTTTCTCAAAGAAGATCCGATAAGATGAGTCGATTTAGACCTAACTCCTAATAACTCCTGCTTTGTCGGCCCAGTTGTAGAGCTATATGACTATATCCATTTACAGACTTGCCATGTAACAATCTCCCGACTGCCTACCTAACATAGACACCGGGAAACATTAAGGACCTCTAATAGTTCTACACTGCAACGTCCCAAACTCCCAATGTCCTGTAATGATAAATATCAATAAATGTTGTTAAGAATGACAAAAACAGAAGATTTCATTTAGTATAACTTTTCATCCATTTCATAATCCAATGTTTCTTTCGCCTTTTTATTTTCTTTTTTTAATTTTTTTGGATGATAGATGTGAACTAGTTGGTAACAGGGTTTGATTCATCCTTTAATATAGTTATATTATGAAATAAGCGATAACCATACATCCTTGTGAGTGTGAGGAGGGACATTGAGTTTTATTCATCCACCTAGAAAAAATAGTTTCACACTTCAAATTGCCAAAATAAATATAAGAGCAAAGGTAACAGAAGAGAGGTATTTGTATTCATGTTGTGGCAAACCTCAAAAGTGGAACTCATCAGGTGAAGGCTGTAAAGCCATTTGTTTCAGACTTCAAATAAAACCTTGAGGCAACTCCATAACCCCTCAGCCTCAACTACGACATCTAGCTTCCACCTCACTGCGCAAGCTTACAGCCAAATCTTCATTTCCATTTTGGCAAAGCCCATTGCACAACTCAGAGAGAATTTCAGGACTAGGAACCATACTTCTCCCTAGCATTTCCCTCAGAAGAAGTGATCAAAACCTCGTATGTATTACTCGTTGCATAACAACCATCTCTTATCATACTCTTGTACAATTGAAATGCACGTTCAGAATTCTTTCTCGTGCGCTGCCCTAAAATAAGAGCAGAATAGGTTGAGGAATTTGGGGCTAAATTCTGCTTGTCAAGTTCTTTAACCATAATGGCTGCTTTCTTAGTCTTGTCCTCCTTGCAGAATCCCAATATCAAAGCATTATACGTCACCATATCAACCTTCACCCCATCTTTCAGCATCTCTTCATAAAGTTCATATCCCATCTCACTATTACCCCACTGGCTATACCCATTTATTAACGTATTGTAAGTTATAGTATTTGGAGGCACACGTGCCGCTTTCATCTCACTAAAAACCTTGTTCGCGTCATGCAATTTCCCTTGCTTGCAAAATCCATTGATGAGGGTGTTAAAAGTGACACTATCCGGCTTCAATCCGTTCTTTTCCATCAAGGCTTTTAGCTTCACGGCAGAGGTGAAGAGGTCCTTATTGCAATACCCAGAAATAAGTATAGATGCTACAGTAGGAAAGATACCCATACTTGTCATATCCTGAAACACCCCCAAGGCCTTTTCCAAACTACCAAGCTTACAATGAGCATAAATAACCATGTTCATAGTATAAACATTTGGCAAAATTCTATTTTTCCGAATCTCCTTATAAAAAGCCAATGCAATTTTTTCCTGATTCAAACTATGCAATGAACTCATGTAAGCATTACAAGACTCTATAGTAGGAACTCATGTAAGCATCCCTAAACTTCTTCATATGGGCATGCGTCTTAAAAAGCGAGTCAAACACAAGAGGAGACGAATCACACAATCGATACGAGTTCAATATAGCATGAAACAACTGACTTGGCAAATAAATAGACCGTCGCGAACTTAGTATATCCTTCATAATCGATTGAGAAGACTTAAATTTCCGGTGTTTGGTCAAAACATGGAGAATCATGGAATGAGTTTCAAGGTTGTGAAACTTAGGGTATTTGAGCTGAACCCATTTATAAAACTCATAAGAAAGAACATAATCCTTCTTAATCTTCAATAATACATGCTTAAATCTAAATGGGGTAAAACCACTTGATAATTTCTCCAATTTTTCCCAATCAGAGTGTATAAGATGGCTATGTGCTACATTCACAAAATCAAGGTCTTGACCTTTTGGTTCAGGAATTGTTCCATGTGTAATTGGAATTACATTCCATTTATTTCTTGCTAATTTACCCAGAATTGAGGAATTGCTCAAAGCAGAAAGTTTCATTGCAAAGTTTGAGAATCAAGCAAATTTAATAGAAGGGTGTTCTTAATTTATACTGTTTTAGGGTTTAACCTTGTGGTTGAATGATGATATACAGAGAAATACTTGAAAGCAGGTGAAATGAGCAAAACCTAAAATTAACAAGAAACGAAATTGGGAGAGGTTAATTTTTTTCTAGAGCTCAAACCCCTTTGTTGGAAGGAGCATTTGATTTTACTAAAGGCTTAAACCCCTTTGTTGGAGGTTGTAAATGAGTCGTTCAAACATGTTAGATCTAGTCATATTATTGGGTCGTATAATTGAGCGCTTTCCTTAAATAATATTGGAAATTTATGTAATTCCCAAAATACAGCAACTCTTTTATATATTCTCACTATACCGTCCACGTCACCGGTTCAGTGGGAATTTTTTTTAAAACGGTTTTTTTTTAAAAACCGCTACTTCAAGTAGCGTTGTACTGAATAAAACTGCTACTTGAAGTAACGGTGTACGGGTTAAAAACCACTACTTCAAGTAGCGGTTTTCATTTAGTTATTCTTTTACAAAAATGATTTCCCCTTTCTTCTAAAATCAGTTACCACCATTTTCGCCCAAAAATCGACACCCCTACTTCCATCTCCTCCCAACGCAGCCTTCCCCTCCGTCGCCACCGACACCTCTAAACGCATCCCTCCCCTCCGTCGTTGCCCATAGCTTGCTCCCCTCCGTCGCCTCTCCCCTCCGTCGCCTCCCAACGATTCCCTCTCCTCCGACGTCGATGACACATATTTTTGGCGAACTGCTGTTGCTGTTGGCTGATTTTGGGGTAAGTTAATTATGCCCTAATTTTTTTTTATTCAAATGTTGATTAGTCTGTTTGTTTGTTGTTATTTGTTGTTGTTGTTGTTGTTGTTGAAGTTGTTGTTGTTAGTTGTTGTTGTTTTTGTTGTTGTTGTTGTTTGTTGAAGTTGTTTTTGTTGGTTGTTGTGGTTGTTGTTGTTGTTGTTGTTGTTTGTTGAAGTTGTTGTTGTTGGCTGATGTTGTTGTTGTTGTTTGTTGAAGATATTGTTGTTGGTTGTTGTTGTTGTTGTTGATGTTGTTGTTGGTTGTTGTTGTTGTTGTTGTTGTTGTTGAAGTTGTTGTTTGTTGAAGTTTTTGTTGTTGGTTGCTGTTGTTGTTGAAGTTGTTGTTTGTTGAAGTTGTTGTTGTCGGTTGTTGTTGTTGTTGTTGTTGAAGTTGTTGTTGTTGAAGTTGTTGTAGTTGGCTACTGTTGTTGTAGTTGTTGAAGTTGTTGTTTGTTGAAGTTGTTGTTTTTGAAGTTGTTTTTGTTAACTCTGTTAATTATATGTTAATGTCATCATATATGTTGGTTAACCATTTGTGTGGTAGCAATTTTTCACAAACTTGTTTTGGTATGGTAGTAAAATTAAATTAAAATTTTCCCTGATAGCAAAAGTGAAATACGTGTGTTTTACTTGTAGCAAAAGTGAAAATTTCCAAAAGAAAAGGATAAAATTCTAAACACGTTGTTGGCCCGCTATACCTCTCAGTTGACTCGTAACAATCCAATGATGGTGAACATGGTTCTTATACAATAGGTGGCAGATGAGTCGTGAACTTGTGATAGACTGCTTAGGGATTAGGATGAACATGGTTCTTATACAATAGCACAAATCCATCCTCTAAGAACTCTATAATCACCTCCCTCAGCCAAAGTTTTCTCAAAGAAGATCCCATAAGATGAGTTGATTTAGACCAAACTCCTAATAACTCCTGCTTTGTCAGCCCAGTTGTAGAGCTATATGACTATATCCATTTATAGACTTGCCAATTAACAATCTCCTAACTGCATGCCTAACATGGACACCGGGAAACATTAAGGACCTCTTATAGTTCTACACTGCTACGTCCCAAACTCCCAATGTCCTGTAATGATAAATATCAGTAAATGTTGTTAAGAATGACAAAAACAGAAGATTTCCTTTAGTATAACTTTTCATCCATTTCATAATCCAATGTTTCTTTCGCCTTTTTATTTGTTTTTATTTTTTTAATTTTTTTTGGATGATAGATGTGAACTAGTTGGCAACAGGGTTTGATTCATCCTTTAATATAGTTATATTATGAAATAAGCGATAACCATACATCCTTGTGAGTGTGAGGAGGGACATTGAGTTTTATTCATCCACCTAGAAAAAATATTTTCACACTTCAAATTGCCAAAATAAATATAAGAGCAAAGGTAACAGAAGAGAGGTATTTGTATTCATGTTGTGGCAAACCTCAAAAGTGGAACTCATCAGGTGAAGGCTGTAAAGCCATTTGTTTCAAACTTCAAATAAAACCTTGAGGCAACTCCAGAACCCCTCAGCCTCAGCTACGACATCTAGCTTCCACCTCATTGCGCAAGCTTACAGCCAAATCTTCATTTCCATTTTGGCAAAGCCCATTGGACAACTCAGAGAGAGTTTCAGGACCAGGAACCATACTTCTCCCTAGCATTTCCCTCAAAACCTGAACTGCTCCATAAAAATCACGATTCTGACGGAAAGAAGAGAACAAAATCTCGTATGTATTACTCGTTGCATAACAACCATCTCTTATCATACTCTTGTACAATTGAAATGCACGTTCAAAATTCTTTCTCGTGCACTGCCCTAAAATAAGAGTAGAATAGGTTGAGGAATTTGGGGCTAAATTCTGCTTGTCAAGTTCTTTAACCATAATGGCTGCTTTCTTAGTCTTTCCCTCGTTGCAGAATCCCAATATCAAAGCATTATACGTCACTATATCAACCTTCACCCCGTCTTTCAGCATCTCTTCATAAATTTCATATCCTATCTCACTATTACTCCACTGGCTATAT